GCATTCATTACGATGAGCACAGGTATTTGGTGTGGATATACTGTACTTTAGATACAATAGATAAGTTTTGTTGGACCGTTATATATACCCCTTTAACCATTTAAATGTTACGGTATACTATATTTATTATATTTACTGAACACCCACTTTTTATTAATATTATTTAGAATTTTATAATAATTATCATACTTTCACATAAAATTTTTTATAGGCAAGTATTTAAAAAGTTTAAATTATGATTTTATGGAGTTTCTAAAAAGTTAATCCAATTTAAATAAAACTTTATGCCTGATGAGTTATGATTCATAAGATATTAATTAAGATCTAGAGTTACAAATGTGAATTCATAAACTCATTTTGAAAATCTATTTGATAACACATAACAAAATTATCTTGTTTGTGATCTTCTATTTAAAAAACTCGGAGATTAAGAGATTTATAATATTTGTAAAAAAGATAATTTAAGATCACTAAGACATTCATATACAGTATTAAAAATGTTATAACCAATTTTCATCAGTGACCGAACCCTCGAGCTTGAGATCAAAACTAAAATATTATAACCAGGGCAGAAATATAAATTATTAAAAGAATTTATTTCTATTTAAATACCGATAGTCATACTTTATAAACAATCACAAAAACAATTAACTTAAAATTATTTAATTAAATATAAAATATATTGTAGTCAACTAAATTAAAGTTTATACAATGAGTTAAGAACATTAAATGACATTTAAATTTTAAAATATCTATATTTAATGTATTCCAGTAAATATAACCTTTTATATCAATTGTTTGTTTAGAATTACTATAATTCAAAACATTTCTATTAATTGAAACTTTTATTTAAATGAAATGATTTTGACAATAAAATAAAGAGTAACGACATAAGCATTTGAAAGACAATGAGACACTGATTACCATAATTTCTGTAATGAACTAATTTGTTTCAAATATAATTATAGTCTAGCCTTTGTTTAGTAAATATTTTCATAATTGACTCATTTATTCCGTTAGGGATTCATTCAAATTAATAGACAAAAACATTTATTTCTTAAGTCCTTTTAATATGTTATTTAACATTATTATGGATATATTTAATATAATACTATGTTTGCAATGCGTTTATTTTCACTGACATTCCGTGAGAACTATATTTAAATATAATTTTATGAATTTATAATTAATTATTGGTTTGAAAAGTAACTCCAAAAATAGAGACACTTTTCTAATAACAGACTTCCTTTAGTTTAACTGTATTTTCAATTATTATAGTATTTATCGCCTTTTCTATTTTTTTTTATTATATTTGATGTTTAAAAATTATTTGCATACAATCTTTTATATTATAATAAATTAGATAACAGTCTAATTGTGCGATTTGATTGTTATTTATTTATCGCTATATTTAGTAAAAGTCTTTTTGTTTATCACTTAAAGTGTTTAATTTTTATGAACACATTTTATTATTTTAAATAAGATATCTATAGTTTGAAACTATAGATGAAATCTAACTTTTAATTATGAAATAATGACCATTTTTAATGATTGACTCTTAAAGGTATTATTAATAACAATTTAATATTAGAAAATTTATTATTTAAACTCATTACCAACCTGCATAATTTACTTATATTATAATTATATTAAATATAAATCTTAATAGAAAAGAAAAATAAGTTAATTATGTTTGAGATTAAGATATGATGTCTACGTTATATTTGATGATTGTATGTATGCTTTCATGCATTATTAATATTAATATTTAAAGTGCTCATTCAAAAAAGTGAAAAAATCATTCATTTTTTGAATATATTTTAATGAAAAAGTTGTGTTTGTATTGAAAAACGGCATATAAAATAGAGTTTATAAAAAGCTCTGAAAGCACCCTGGAGGTTTATATGTCTATACTGTTTACAGAAGACTTAGCCCACACTCAGTCTCACTGTTGTCCCCTCATATCCCTCATTAAGATTGAGGTTTTGATTAATTTAAATCGAGAAATAAAAGAGTTTTATGCTTTTATCGGTCAATGAATTGATGCAATAAATGATTTCAATAAGAATTCATAATTTGATGAGTGAGTGAATAAATCTCGGAAATAAATTTCAAAGTTATATCTCCTTTTCCACTCAATTATTCATCAAACACTGAGCTTTTTATTATACATCTCAATATTTTGGGGATTTATTGCTTCATATATGGAGCACTTATATCTAAAATTAGAAGTTTCCAGATATTCCGATAAATAAGTTTACTTTTTAAACCTTTGTTTTAATATTTTATTTATAAACATTACTAAGTAAATTTTAAATAATCTAACACGCTACTTAAACTTCTTAGAAACTCTGTTATTATTTTCATTTTGAATCAATTTAATAATTATTAATTACAGACTATTATTATAAATTAGTTTACAATTACAATAAAATTATTATTTCAATGAAACTTTTTATACATTTATATTTTGTTTTCTATACAGGAATTAAATGTATAATTAAACACTTTTATGTGATAATACATGTATTGTGTTTTAATTATTAAAACATTTATTATAATTACATAATCTTCAATATATTCGTTATGTTATATTTGAACCTTTAAATAGCGATATTGCAATTACATTTAATTTTAAAAATGTAGAGAATAATAATAATAATAGATAGAATTAATAAATATTAATAAATAATGATTGAATACGTTAATATGTATTTAAATATTTCATCGTTTATTTCCTTTATGTAATAAAATAAGACTAAAACTAAACTTTCATTAAAACTCACGATTGCGAAGAGTTATACAAAAATAAATTTACTTTTACTCTTAAAAAAATACACAAAGTAGTATTATTATTAATAAAAGTATTGCCCAATAATTTAGACTTATTTTTAATTTTAATATTGTGTTTCTAAATTTAAAACATAATATTTATGTTTTATTTAATGTACGGTATATTTTAAAAGTCGTGATAATTTGGTTTTTCTCTTAATATTCAAGTGATGCACGGCTTAGGAAAAACAGTTTTAGGTTATCGTGAAAAATGTCTTACATTTTAATTTAATTTTTCTTGTATTTATTTTTAGACTTGAATAATAAAAATGCATTTCTTTTTACCATAAATACAAAAATAAGTATGAGATTCAATGCTTTTAAAACTGAAATCTAGTAAATGCTGAGAAATTAATAGTTTTCTTGTGTTTTACTATTTCCACTGAATTGAAAGTGTTTTTTAAAAATGATTTGAATATAAATAAAAAAAATATTGAAAAGTCATTTAATTGAAAATAATTACAATTTGTTTGAATCATAACTAATGAATAGCCTTAAGGAGAAAAACGAAAAAAATATATCAAAAAATAATTGTTATATTCTTGTATTGAGTTCTAGTTTTTGACTTACATTATGAATACGTGTCAAACAACTCACAAAAATATTTTCTAAACATAAAAACACATTAAAACAAGATTTGAAGCGATCGTATGATAACTACAATTTAGAAAAAATAATGTCTCATTAATGATATTACAAATGAACAAAAAAAGTTTTAACCCTAATTCCTATGGCCACTCAAATCATATCAGACATGTCATGAAATGAACGTTTTCAATATGTAATTTTTATATACTGTTTTATTTTGATTATATTTCAATAATTAGTTTAAATATACATTTAATTAAATTAAATATAATATAATTGGCATTCAATTGCTATTTAAATGAGTTTGCAAACAGTATATACAATAAGAGTGGATATAAATATATAAAAGTGAAAACAATATATAAATGTATAGTTTTTAATTGAATTTAAAAAATTGATGTTAAAAACGGCAAAACCCTGCTAACTATGCCCTCTGGGCGTTGATTCGAGTCATAATTCTGTCTCTTTGTGAGCGTCTATTATCGATAGGATTGGGTCGACTGCCAGAGTAGTCAATAGCAGTGCGTTTGCTAAGAGTCTGTCCGTTCTTCCTGATGATGGGCTCGGTATATATGGGTTGTGCGACCACTTGACTGTTGGCACCGGAGGCAGACGCTACCGGGTATGACGAAGATTTATGGTCTCCCTGGCCTCCAATCTGTTTGCCGTCCTTTCCATAGATAACTGTATGTCTCTCCTCGATAACGGGTCTGACTTCATGAGTAACTCTACGATAGGGAACAATAACCACTCGTTCTTCAAATATGATGGGCTTTACAACGCGGACAAGGATTCTGCGGGGCTGTGGGTGCTGTACAACAAGCTCCTGGTGGTCAGGTCCTGATGACACCACTTGGGGAGTGCCGTAATGTGCGGGAAGGGATTCTCCAGCTCTTAAGGTGAAGGTTTTCTCCTCTGATGGTTGAGAAGCAAGGATTTGCTTCTGGAATGCACTGTAAGAACCTCCTAATCCGGTCAGACTTGTCAGGCCATGGGATGAGGGGATGGACTGTGTCTCGGCATTGCATCCAATCGCCAGTAATACTACTGTTAAGTACTGTTAACAATAGATATTCACAATTAACACTTTCATCAAAAGTAAAGTATTTGTAAATAAAATATTGCCAAAGTTTCATAAACTAATATTAATTCATGCACACAATTCTTAATTTTTATTTTAAACTTATTAATTTATAAGTATGATATTTAGTGATATAGGTGATTTAAGTGAATCATGATTTAGATATTGTTAAATATATTATAACATAAATTATTTATTAAAATCAGTCTATATATTAAAGGTGAAATAAATAAAAAATTCTGTAGAATATTATAATCTTCTATATTTAATATAAGTACAATTCTATATAAGTTTTTTCAATATTCATAATAATTAATTTAATATCTAAAGAAATTTAAGTAAATGCTTAGTGCTTTTAATATAATAAGCTAATGACTTTAAATGTCTCAAATAAAATACATAATTATATACAAAATTGATTTTATATTAATGTTTAGTTGAATTAATGTTAATCACAAATAAATGCAACTGTTTGGTATGCAGACAATGATATAATTCGGATTTTAGCTCTAAATCGACAAAATATAAAACATTAAACAGAAGTCTAATGTTAAGGAAAGTCTAATTATTAATATATTCAGGAAGTCTTATAAGAATACAAAAAAATGTTTAGCAAATTAGTTCAATAGACTTCGAAAGAAAGTCCAAAGTTTTTCAAATATTATCACTAAATGATGAAAAATTTTGAATATACACTAACAAAAGCAAATTAAGGCGCCAAAGTATATTAGTTAAAAATAATAGTTTTTATTGTATCATTTTATATGTTGTTAACTTATATTAATACTTTTAAGTATTAAAATGTATTTTTTCACTTTATTTTATTTTTAAATTGAATTAAATACATTACTACCGTAAGAATGATTTTTCAGGCTTAATTTATTTTCCATTAAATTATATAAAATAATTAAAAGCTTATAGGAATAAAAATAAAGATAAAATTTTAACTTTAATAGCAAACAACAATAAAAGCTCAATAAATAATTTTATCAAATATAGTTTCACTTTCATATTAATAATTAATTAAATCTTTTGACAAATCTTTAAACTACTTGTTAGAAATCCAATTAAGAAATATATAAACTATAAAACAAGTCAAAAATTATATAATTAAGTATTTTTCATATAATTATTAAACTGGGTCACTTATTTAAATTACATTCATTATTATCAGAAATATTAGCGTTGTTATTCTAATATTAGGGAAGCAAATGTAATATTACTATAAGACTCATAATTAAACTTATTTACACTAATTCACTAATTCTCACATTCAATGTATCCATAATTTTGACTTAACTTTAATTTTAGGCACTTATTTGAAATAGAAATCCAGAAAATCACAGTTTTTAACAGAATATAATAAAAATATTCAAATAATTAATTGTAATTAAACATAAATCTATACACTTATATAATAAGTAAGAGGACTTACTCTGAACATAATGTTGGTTTGGTATAGGAATGGGTTTTTGCACAATAAGTATGAATATAATGTGGAGTTAGTGTGGAATAGGATGCCTCGTGTAATGTAATTTGAAGTTGAGTTGAATAACTTTCACTTAACAAAAGTCGGTCCTTATATACCCTTATATACTGTTGGGCTGTCAAGTCGTGAATCTATTGGATGANATTGGATGTTCACAAGTATCACAAGTCAGGTATATCTGAGCGTAGAGTTTGTGAAAGAGTTTGAGACCTGAAAGTGGAACACAAACACCACAACAAGATTTGACTTTATTTCTACTCAACGCTAACTGTTATACAGCTTTTGACAGTGGATTCGATGTAACACTTCTTAAGTCAATATTAAATACCATTCAAAGCAATGCAAACCAATGCCTATTATATGGTCTCTAATCATATGGAATTGACTTGAGATATCAGTTTCAAATTGACTTGAGATTCATAGTATAGTAACTATATTTATATACACAACCGATGGCCTATTAATACAAAGATTTTTGGCTTCAATTTAGAGCACAGGTCCGACACATAGAAATGAGAACATCTCTATTATGACCACTACTACTGTCCCAAACAAATGCTATTTTTAGGTGTTTAGAGTCTTACAAATACGAGCACCTGTTATACCAATTGCTACTCATCACTAATCTTTCAAAATGAGATATTTATTTCCAAATATTCATCCAATTTTCATATAAAATAAAGTATCGCAAACACTAGTCGTGCAAATGGGAGTCAACGGACTCTTAACAGGTCTGAAACATTGAGAGATGATTTGCGTGGCTTTGGATTAAAAATCAATAAACTAAATAAAATGAAGCAAATTTGTTGTTGAAATGAATGCTCAATATTAAGAAATACATGTTTAAGGATTGAGTTTTATAAGCACTCTATCTATCAAATGCTTTCTTCATAATGAAGTGAATTAACAGTTAGAGTGAAAGCGAAACCCTTTCTCTTTAACCCTTTCAGATAATAGCTTAATATCTCCTCCCCTTAAGAATTTGAATCCAATATCGAGTGCCGTTCCCCTCATTTGTACTAAATTTGACACAATTCTTGAAATACTGATTTCACAAAAGAATTTTAATTTTTGGGGATTAATATGTGTATAACAAAAGCTCATAGATATTTAATAATTTATTATTATACTAGTATTTCTACTGTATAATTATAAGTAAATTTATACCTTTATTAGTTTTTAAAAGATTTATAGAATTAAAAATAATATTAATTTTTATTTAATTTGCGTAATCATAAAATTTTATTTAATTTTTTCTTATTAAGAATAGGATTAAAAACTCGTATCATTAATTAATTAATGTGATTTATATATTATGTAAAATATATAACAAATAACCACACTTAAATAAATATTTCATACATTGTGTCGCTCTCCTTGAACCTTAACTTCAATTGATTAACTAGATCAAATAATCAAGTAATACTTAGGAATTTACTATGACATTATGTTTAATTTAAACATTTCTAATTAATAATCAATTTTTATAAGAACAAGTTTATATAAATTGAAACAAAACATTAATCAATTTGATAATAGGTTGAGACATGCTTAATATACAGCACAGATTTATATGGGTATTGATTTAAAATGAATTTAGTATTGTTAGTGTAATAATTTAAACTATAGAACTCCAAACTACCGGTGCCGATAAATCACCTAATAGTGGGCCCCTTTCTAACCCACAAGACCCACTGTTGGTCGTCGTGAACACACCTGTCCACTAAATACTGGCAATTACTGCCCTACCGGGTCGACCACTGTGACCCTTATTTGTGGCCCCAACTTTGGGTCCACCGTTAATGAGGTGAATCTCAAACCTC